GAAGGAGGGCATGTCGCTAGGACATCCCGCGGGAATCCCCCCCGAGGGGGAGACTAACTTAACCATCGGAGGGGTCGGGTCAAACATCCCGACCCGACCTGTGTGCAGGTACGAAGGCGAGACACCCTCCGCTCGACGCACAAGCAAGGAGCCTCTTCCCCGGAGAAACGACGACCCACCGCTGCGACTGAACCCGAACCTGACCGCATTGGCCCCGAGGCCACGGTTCAAACAGTTGCCCCCCGCAACAGAAGTGACCTTCTAAATGACTTGTATTAACCAAATGACTCAAAGTCAATTACTTTCAAGAAGCCTAACTTCCACCAAGGTTCATAATTTCGTATCGTAGCGACATTTCAAACTTTGCTCAAAACAGTATGGTAGGGGCATACCAAGCGATATGCCAAGGTGTACCGCTCGATGCATATATATATAATATAAAAATAAAAATAAAAATCAATATATAAAAATATTAAAAAATAAAAAAAAGGAGGTGTTTGCTGCCTCGATAACGTCGCCTCCTTTTCTTCTCCTCGTCGCGTCAAACAAGGAGAAAACTACTCATCGGCAGCGTTCGGCGAAAATGTCGAAGGCCGCAGGCGTCTCCAGCCTTTGGCGAAGAACGCGGTGAAGAAGAAGCTGAGCTGCCGCCTCTCCGTTACCTCCTGGATCGGGTCGTCGAGGGAGGGCACCACCGAATCGAGAAGCGTCGAGGTTCTCCCGATTCTCTTTCTTCTTCTCCCTCTTCTTCAAGCGCCTTCTCCCTCGACGCTTCTTCTTCCCTCGCTGCAACCAGGCTGATACCCCCCTAGTGGCGGGCAACGATGGTCGAAATCGACCGTTCCGACCTGTTTTGGGCTGTAACGGTCGAAATATCAACCGCTGCCGCCCGATACAGCCTCGTATCATCCGATATGAGGATAGATCAATGGTACCGCCCAGTAGCGAGTGGTCCGCGCACCGGTCTGTTGGCGGAACGGTACATACCACCCGGTACGAGCGATATCATTCAGTATTGTAATCCTTGACTTCCTCTACTCCCTAACTAACCAAACAGGCCCTTAGGTTAGGATCGTTACCCTTCCCTATGGTTTTAGGAGTCCCAAGATGTTTATATTCATCACATAGATTAATTAGAGCTCAAAAAAGAAAAAAATAAAAGCTGACAATACTGTTGATAACTTGATATAACTGTAAGTAGCAATAACCCATGAATGATATGTGATCAAGTCTTTTATTCAAAGATCAACAAGAGACTACGACAAGTCATAATGTCTCAACTATTTGAAGTTGATTATGCTGATATTCTTCTACCATTGAGCTCTGTACAGAACAAATCTTTTGTTAATCAAAAGCATTAAAATCCATATTTATAGCTTCTCACAGTCTTCTTGATCCTTCCTCTACCAGTCCTCACACCACTAGTACTAATTATCTCATATCATCTAACTACAGCATCTCTAGATCTCCTTTGAACATGTGCATACCATTTTATAGGATTATGGCATGAATGGGAGGAGACAAACAATAAAGGATAGGTTGCATGACCTGATTTTTTATTGGTGACTTGTTCTTTTGTCTCCTTTGAACCCTGTGAAATGGTTCTTGTCCTCTAATCCTATTTTTTCCTCCAATAATGTCTACCCTTCAACCCTCTCACTCATTAAACCCTAAGAATTATCTTTATTGGTTTCCAATAAATATTATTGCCATTAGAAGCCCCCAAGCACCAAAAAATGATGTATTATGAATATAGACCAGCTGAAGGAACATAGTTATTGGGTCACATCTAGCGGCATTAGAGCAAATAGATATGTCGATGATCCAAAGAAGTGATACAAGAAATTTTAAAGGCACAACGATAGACAAGAGTGATGCATATCACATAGATAGAGTCGCAGTATGAGAGAAGTGATGCTAGGAAGCAAGGTTTTTCGTGTACCAGTATTGTCCCACTTATACCAGAAAGTGTTGATACACTGGTACGTATCAAGTTTTAAAAAAAACTTAGAAGAGGCAGAAAAATTAAAAAAGAAACTGAGTTACAGACACCATATCATCTGGTACAGAGTGGCACCGGCCCTATACCATGCATACTGCATGGTACCGTGCATTACAGGATGCTACTGGCCCTATACCAGGAAGAATGGGTCATACCGCATGGTAAAGATCTGTTATCGGTATATCATCTGGTTTATCTTGGTTTTGTATCAGTAACCTATTGGACTGCTAAATACCGCCAATACTGAATCGTATTGGGTGGTATTGCGAACCTTGCTAGGAAGTATACTCAAATTGGATACATAAGAGATATATGCTATGTCATATGGAAAGAGTACTAATACAGTATAATAGGCACATTGATAGACATGAGAGGTGCTAATTTGGATGGATACTTCGATTGATTCTCATGATAGCAAAAGTATGGTTTTTCTTATAGCTCAATACAAATGGAAGAAATGATTAAAGAATAAAAAGAAAATTGAAGCAAGTGTAGACGGATGTTAAGTCAAGTGCAAAAAGGCATTGATGCAGTTGAAGTAGCCAGAAAATCAACAGGGAGTGTCACAATGTCAGAATGAACATGACATAAGAAAATAAATAGGTAGATGTGGAGTTCAAAAGCTGAGGAACTAATAAGATCTTTACATATAAAGAGCCAAACTGAATCATCTGTTACATATCCTATTAATGAACAGATTATAACTAATGATGCATTTACGGCTACAAAAGCCTAACATATTTGAGATTGAAGATCAAATAAATCAGAGATTGAGCCTGTAGATAGGATTCTTCTTCTAGCTTTAAGTTCATCACTACAGATGTGCTAATTAGCATTGATATATTTCAAGCGTTCTTATAATTTCATGAATTCCTTTTATCAATGCCAAAAAGATCATGAGCCCATTGTTGGTGCACAATTGCACATCTACAATTGTTTGTGTTTAGGTTTCACAATTGAATTCAAGTCGATCATCATATACACACAGATGACTGACAAATCAGGCTAATCAAGTTGTTTGTCAGTAGGTATGGGCCTAAATGACCTTCTCAATCACTAAGTGATCACAGATGTGATCCTGTGCAGAGGAAGCAAATGATGCAACCCTGATTCTGATAGTCCAATTGCAGTTGAATATGTAAGAATGATTAAAATGAATCAGTCTCCCTATTCAAGGATTGGTACTGTATGCGGTCACATCAAAAAGGCAAGTATGTTAGTGTTAGTTTTTCTACCAATCCACAAATTACAGATGGTGCAAATGCTAACACATGCCAAGTAAGGGAGATGCTCTGAACTCTTAAGGCACAAAGTATGAACAGTGACCCAATAACCAAAATCTTTGGATAAATTTAATCCGTAGAAACAATTCCAGAATGAAACTTTGATTCAAGCCCCTGAGAGTCTATACATTCAGAACCCCACCAAACCTAGAAGAAATCGTTACCTGTTCCATTATCCAACCAATTTATTTGCATATCTGTTTGATTATTCCATCTCAACCATTAGTATTTAAATCTACGTAAAACAATATGTTTCACAGAAACCTTTACCAAATTCCAAGAAAAGATGGCATATATACTACAACATGCTAATGTTCTTATGTAAATCTCATCATGTGTGCTACTTAACTTTCAACTGAAGAAAATAGTTACTGAAGATTCCCACCAACACTAGCGAATTTATACATGGCTCACTGGCCAACATTCACCATCCTTGAGTCTCCACAGGAACTCATATAGTATTTCAACTATAAAACTCACTTTTGCCAAAAGCTTTGTCCGCATTCTCTCCTTACACTTGATATTTGATTAGAACATTTTCAGATTCTCTCTCTTATTGATATAAACCATGTAATGAATAAATGAGGACCTAAAAAGATGGACTTCAACTAAAGTGCGCACTCCAAGTTCCAGTGAACAGATAGCACAAGTTAGGGCAGAATAGCACAGCAAATAGCCATGTTCACAGAGAGGTATTTGAGGAACAAAAAATAAAATAAAAGAACGACCAAAACCGAGATTGAGATCTGAAATATTAACATCATTTCACAGCCCTCATCTACTCTTCTCCAGCACTAAATAGTCTTCACCAGTCCCAGTCATTTTAAATTATTATAGAAACAATGACACAAGGGATTCAAAATAACTAGCTTGTTCAGTATGCTAAAATGCTGGCAAAAAGTTTTTGCTGCGGCAGGTTCAGTGAAGTATAATTTTGACATATAAAATGGGATATGGGTTAGCGAAGATTAAAACTTATAATCTTGACTAGATTTCCTAAATAACAGAGAGAAATTATATAATTTAATATGAGATCTTTCTGAAGGACTACTAGAACATTACTAAATGTTAGGTGTTAATTTAACAATATTTATTAAAAAAAATTATTATATGTATTAGAAATTTTTGTAAGAATTTGCAATCTTATTGGTCTAGTTAGTTATTGACCCCAGTTATCCTTATCTCTTGGAAAGATGAACATGTTTTACTTATTAGCATTTCAGAATTCGATATGCTGTCTGGAATTATGTATTTCATTTTAGCACCTCATTACCTAGCAAAAGAACTTTGCAACACAAACACAAGGAATCAATTCAGCACCCAGGTCTGCTCTGCTTAAATGCAACAAGAAATAATTTTGCACATGTTTAAATTAAACATTTTCCTTTTAAGATAAAAACAAAATCATTCTCACATCTCAATTAAGATTATTTTAGACAAAAATGTTTGGTAGCATGACTTCCAAACTGAGTCCAACATATAGACACCTGACAACAGCAAAATATCAGCTCATTTTCCTATATTGAACAAATTGTGGTGATCTAATTTTAACATCAAGAAACAACAAAAACAGTCTAGGGAAAGAAAAAAAGATTCAAATACTGGTCCAATACTGGTTTCAGCACCAGTCAGACCAGTATGGTACAAAATACCGAGTGTCCATTGATTTATAACAGACTGAAAAAAAAAATTGAGGAGCATAATTGTGGTACCAAATGGTGTGTCCATTACCGGTGCTTGATCTGAACAATAGGTTCAAACTGATATTTAAAACATTGATCACAATCTAAGTGACAATGGCATGCAATAATGAGGCATTGTTACACTTCTAAAAATAGCAGAATAAAACAATAATTTCTAAACAGAAGACACATTGAATGTAAAGGTGATGAATATGATACTTACATGCATGGCATAAACAAAGAAAAAGCAGATCATATATGAACATTCCAAAGAGTCAAAAAATGGATCAGAAGTGATTACATCATGAAAAAGGTGGCAGCATTGAGCAAAGCTGGCATCTAGCTTATCGAAGAAAATGATATTCATGACTTAATATTCATGAATGGGTATTTTGAGAAATCTAAGGCAGTTCTTTTAACAGATGAACAGAGAAACATATTTATCTATCCACATGTTAGTAAATGGTTTGATAATCATTCGCAGTGCTACAGTGTAAAATACATGTTGATTTTGGAATAGTGGATTACCATGTAGCGAAAGAAAAACATGTCAACTTTCTTACTAGAAGTAACTGTTATATCTAGTATCTCTCTGTTAGATGTTGACAAGGGATCTAGATTATTGACGTTAACACATTTTCAGTATAAAAACCTCAAATCTAAAGCAGCTCCAAGAAAAGTTAAAATGTCCAAACAAAAAATAACAAAACTATTATTTGTTGCAGACATCATAACTCACGTTGCACTGGTTTTAATTTATCCTTCTCTGTACTGGTAGACTTTAAGAACCCTTTGTTCTGCTTTCCTTTTTGCACAGGCTTAGCCAATGATACCTTAATGTTCACCTGGAAACCAGGAGAACAAAGTGTCAAGTGAAATCAACCAAAAACAAGTACAAGTAAATATATTCTTAGACATAAGAGAACCTTTGAGCCATTCTCAGTTAACTCTTCCTTCTCAAATGATTCAATGCAGGAAAGAGCTGCCTCTCGAGTGCTGTAGTTAACAAAGGCAAAGTCTTTTCTCTTAGCTGACTGAATATCTCGTGAGTGGACAATCCGCTCAATCTCCCCAAACTTTTTGAAGATCTCCCTCAACTTGGTTTCATGCCATGAAGATGGTATGCCCTCTACATAAACTGATTTGACCTAAATCAAGACAAGAGGAGACTATCTTAGCAACATGTCATGGTTAAGATGAGGTATCGTAACCAAAAGACAAAACATGTGGAAATTAAAATGAAGAAAATAAGTATTTGTTCCAATCAAGGTGCCAAATCATAGCCTGGTACTGCTATTGATCCTTACGCAGACAGATATAACACTAGTATAGTTCAGTGTGCCATGTATACACACATCCCAGTCCAAATAATATGGATCCAGCCAGAGGAGGTAGGGTGGAAGAGGAGGCAGCAGCAGAGGAGAAAGTGGAAGAGTAGGAGAGTAGGAGAGTAGGAGAGGTGTATTAGTAAGTGAAGGAGGTGGCGGTGGCAGCAATATGGTGGGGAGTAGGAGGCAACAGCACTGAAGGAAGGGGGGGAGGAAGAGCAGAGAGAGAGAAAGAGAGAGAGAGAGTCAGATAGAGATATCTACCGTTATTTTTTTTAAAAAGAGTACAGGTACAAAGCAGTAAGCCTTAATAGAAAAGGAATACAGATCAGTAAACATTCATAAAAAATAAGAAGAAACACCAAGGACCATAGGCTTGGTACAGTAGGCTTATTGGGTAGTACAGGACAAACCAGATTGAAACAAACTTGTCTGATCCACATCTTGGTTGGTTGTTGGTCACCAGACCATCAAAACAAATTTGTTTTTTTTTTGTCAAAGAATACTTGAAACAGTACTTGTCTACTTTTGTAAATAGCAAAGAACGAATATACAATTTTAAAATGTCAATTAGATATTAGCAAATCATGCCTCCACGTCCTTGGCCATAAAATACGGTGTGTGGCATCCACAGACCACGAGAACTGTCAATACCTTGAAAATCGATGCACTTTAAAATGGTTTGACAACAAAATTTCTTCACGAGTGCAAAAAATAATCAAGTTAGTTTTACAACATGTAATGCAAAATTATATGAACCATGGTTTGTCATAACCCAATCCTGACCAAAGTAACAAATCGACACAGTTAAAACATTATTTATCGTTGATAAAGGCGCAAGGCCCACAACATGAGATTCCTAATCCTGTAGCAATTAGGATGGTTCAAGTGCACAAATCAGCTCCACAAGCAAGAGACAACCAGTTTAGAACCCATAAAGCACAAGTTGCAATAAAAAAATCATAGATGCTCCAAGGCCAACTTCCTCTTATGTTGCCCATTTCAAACTCTCAAATTAACAGAAATCAATGTTCAACGTGGTGAAGGATCTTGAGCCAGTTTTTAGTGCTATCATAACTTCACAAGCAAACACAAACATGAAGATAACAAGGGTGCATGTGCAAACATGGAAAGACAGCAGGGAAGGAAGAGAGGGAGGGAGGGAGAGAGAGACATACCTTCTGCATTTGCTCTTCATCTGGATCATTTAATGGTTCAGCCCAAGCAACTTTGATGTTTCGGCCTTTGCCAAAAACATCTTTTTTCTGAAGTTTTCTATAAGCAAGATGCGCATCTCTGTTAGTTTCAAGCTCAAGAAAAGCAAACCCACGATTTGTATCAGCATTATAGGGATCAGCCATAACAGTAACAGTGTCAATCTTTTCAATTCCAATGTCCTGTAACATCTTAATTACCTGCACGCAAATTACACCAACAGCATGGAAAAAGGATTGTCACCAAAAAACATGAACCATGTAACAAGCTATTCTATTAGTTCAACTACTATGGAGAAATTATTAATACTTACATCTTCTTTCTTCCATTTCTTATCAATGTTTCCCAGAAATATAGTATCATTCCCCTCAAGAGCAGCTGCCCCACAAATCTTTCCACAGACCTTTATTTTACATCATGACAGGATCAAAATTAGTACCAACCGTACCTCACAACACAAAGCCAAAACAATAAATAATCTTCTGAATTTCCTCCAGCACAACTTGGTATGATCAGGAAAAATCATAGAGGCAATGACAAAAGAATTATAAATTACAAAAACAATACATTGGAAGTATTGACATGTTAATTCAATGTGATTTGGCTACAAAGAATATCCAAGGAAAAATATTAAAAGAACAGGAGAAAGCATCAACAAGCAAATCATAACAAAGTTGGATAAGAATTGTAAAAATTATGCAGGATTGCCTGTACATGAACACAGGATACGCAACATCATAGAATACAAATGGCTTTTAAACTATATAAATCATGTCACATGCTTGTCATGTTTGCAAATTAGCCTAGGGAAACCCAAGTGATAGACCAATTAATAAGCCCAAGGGATAGAATAAGAATGTAGGTAGTAGCCCAGGAAACAACTTTTCAAAAGGTCACTTTGTGACCTTATATTAACTTATATAATAAGATATTCTATCTTAAACTTATATATAAAGTATATATTATTATATTAACCCAAGAAATACAAAATGATCATATTGCACAGCCAGATGGATTTTTGTTATTATTCTAAGAGAAGGGTTCATTAATTGTGCAGCTCATCATATATCCAGTTGGCATTGACAACAGGGATAATTGCCCCCTTTTCCAGTCTGATTGGAACTGTTTCACATCCATAAGCACTTAGAAGACTTGCACTTCGGGAGTCTCCCTGACCCCATTAGGAACCAAACAAGGATCACAAAACTCTGCCTGAGATCCCACAAGCCCCTTAAGGGTCTTGGCACAGTATAGCCCCTTTAGGAGCATTCAGCCAGACAAAATGAACAAAAAAAAGCAGCAGTAGGAATCAAAGGGTATTTAGACACAGATTAATTAGTCATGTTATTTTTGGATTCGAGCAACTGAAGCATAAAAAAAATCTTGTAAGCCTCCTAGTTCAAACAATTCTCATCTTTTTCTACTTTTATCTGATCTTTTCATAAAAAAACATTATCTGATCTTTTAGGAAAAAACATAGTTTCATTCCTCTAGCTTTCATCTTTGTGAGGTTTTTCTCCTCAAATTGCAGAAAATGCAAGTTTGGAGGGTTGATACTCTTAACAATTTTAACATCATACATGCACATATATGTCCAGACAATCAAATCCTTGGCATTGTTTACCACCCACTCGACTAGGCCATTGTCCACAACAACAATTCTCTTGATTCTTGTAAGGATGAACATATACAATGAATGATCTAGGAAACTCGAAACAACAATCACTAAACAAACTTGAAGGAAACCTTGATACTAATACTGTCATCCCAAAACTGCAACATGTTAATAGAAATCACAATCATCACATGTTGATTAAGGAAAACATGGTGAAAAGTGAGGATGGCTTGTCAATAACACATCTAACATAGTGTTTTGAAAATGCGCCCAGGTGCACGGCTAGGCGCTCGAGTGAGGAGAGGCAAGGCCCAAGAGCCTAGCACAGTTATCGAGAAACATACTTCAATGAAGGGCCGCCTCGATGATCACCTAAACCCATGCGTCAGGCACCTCAGGTGAGTGCTCGATTAAAGGCAAGCAATCAAACCAAACCTCGATGAACCTTCAACCATTGGTAAGTGAGTTTGGTACACCACCACCGGACCAATGTTTAAGGTGTACAAAATCAAATGTTATCCAATGAGAGCCTAAAAGTCAAATGATACAAATGATGGGAAGCTATTCCATAAATGTCTTTTGTTTTTTATTTCTATTGTCAGATTTCTGAGTGAGCCATTGTGACTGTTGCAGTTCGGTTCCAAGGTTTGGTTGTTTATTCACATGAACCATGGAAACAAAGCATGGTCTAAAAGGTAAATCAAAACCAAAATATATTATAAAAATATTAGGCAGGTTATGCAATGAACAGATATTGTTTCTTTCACTCCTACTGATAAATCTTCTAACTTCAATTATAAAGTTTTGAGGCACAATAAAAGGCTCTAATATCCTTGGATCAATAATTCAATGTTATTCTCGTTGTTATGTCCCTAAATTTAGTTCCATCCACATGAATCACAGGAATTAATTGTGCCAATATAATATAATCATAAACCATGTTCATCATGTTTTATTCAAAACACATTGTACCACCAATGACCCATGCAACCAATAGAACTTGATTGATAACATAGCAGTAACAACAAATTTTTCCTATGGTCTAAAACAGCATCGAAAAGCTTGGACTGATTCTTAAAGCTTCGGAACCAGGATTTGCCATTTAGGCTAATAGATCCATACTAGTCCCAGTTGACACTCGGACGGGTAAACACCAAGTGGTCCTGGAGAGATGACATTCTGTGATCCAAATTAGACCTTTGTGTCTGGTTACAATGCTTGCAACTAACTAACAATAGCTCCAACTATGGCAGTTAATGACAAAAGATTATGAATTCTCATCATTATCTCCAAAATACAAGAATCCCATTCTTGGCATCATTGTCCCACGATGAAGAATCACCATGTCATTTCACAAAATTCTATAAATTTGATTCAGAAAAAAAATAATATAGGGCAAGACAAAGTCGCACACAAAATCAGAGGTTATGAAGATGAAATTGAGCATAGATGCACAAAGAATGCAATTACCTCCACTTTAGAGAATTCAGAAACGGCCTTTTTAGCTTGTGCTGCATCCTTGTACCTCAAGAAAGCAAACCCCTTGTTCTTCCCAGTCTGTCCATCCATCATCATTCTTACCTCCACAATCTCGCCCACCTTCCCAAAAACCATCCTCAGATCCTCCTCCTTGACATCTCTACCAAGTCCTCCAATAAAAATCTCTGTCTTCCTCCTATTCTGCCGTTCTGACATCCCGGCCTCCTCATCAGCAGCAGTTGTCACTGCCTCCTCTTGCCTTTCCTCCTTATCCTGCAGCGGAACATCCTTCTCCTCTTCCAAAGCAACATCCTTGTGCTCTTCGAAACCAACATTCTCCGTCTGTGTCGCCCCTCCAACTGCAACATCAGAACTAGGGTTCTGAAACCCCGATTCGGTAACCGCGGTTTCTAGGTCTGCGGCTTCTGTCGGCGGTTGCAACGAATCTTTCTTAGCTAACGACACCACCTTCGGAATCCTCTTCTTGATGATTTTCTTCTTGATCACCTTCCTCACTCGGACGATGGTCTTCTTGGGCGCTTCAGATGGCACCGCAGCTGCAACCTGGGTTTCCTCGACGGCGGGGGAGGCGTCAGTGGCGGAAGGTTCCGAGGGCTCCGGGACAGCAGAGAAGGGGGTTTCCGAGGGCTCCGGGGCAGCAACAGGGACGGGGGGCTCGGGGGTGGGTTCGACGAGCTCGGAAACGGGGGTTTCGGAGGCGGTCGAGGACGGGGGCGGTGTGGCTACCTCGGCGGCTGCGGCCGGAACGGGGGTGATAGGGATGTCGGAAGCGGCAGAGGGAGGGGAGGGGTTATCGTCGGCGGGGGCGGCGGCGGGGGCGGGGGCGACGGGGGTTTTGGATTTGGACTTGGGGACGGTTTTGCGCACGGTTTTGACGACTCGCTTCTTCGGAGGCATTCTTTCGGTCTGTTGTCTTGGGCGAGGTTTGGAGAATAGCAGCAAAGGAGAGAGAGAGACGCAGCGAGGAAGAGAGGGGAAAAGGGAAAAGAATTCGCGATTGTGAGGAAATAGGGATACGATCCGGTGGCGATGCGCGAAGGGATGAAATTATATTATTAGTAACCACAATATACATATATATATATATATATATATATATATATATAAGACAATACTTG